TGTATTCTGTCACATTTGAGTGCAAAAACAGTGGAAAAAAGTATAAAACAGCATCTTGTAAAAGGTATAATGAAAAATCTGATGAGTGTTTTGAGTTGAAAATTTACATATTCTAGAGACGCAAAAGACTTATATTAAATCTGAAAAAAGGGGTAACCTAGGTGCCCTTTAAACTTTTCTTTTGAAACTAAATCTTTGCCTAGATCTCTTTGAGAGCTAATTTTAGCCTCATACTTGAAAAGAGAAAACCAGAAGAAGAATGCTCTTCATATCAGCCTTCTCAATAAGGATTTTAAATTACTGTTTAATGTGTTAGCTTTGAGATTAGAAAAAATATTGCCTTTGATTATTGAAGTTGATCAAACTGCGTTTATTCATGGACAATACTCTGGTGATAAAATGTGAAGGTATTAAAAATATGTAATAATGACAAAACACTACTCTGTGGGTCTCCTTACTTCTGGGTTTAGCAATGCTGCCGTTGTGGCCCCAACATTATGAAGCTGCTGTTTTGGAGACCCAAACACATGCTCAAACGGCTAACCCCGCCAGTCCTACACCACCAAACCCATTCCGAGCTGGGATCGAACCAGCGGCCTTCCGCATGGGAGTTGGTTGCTCTACACATATAATACACATATAATACAGTGTAAATTCACTAATGTTAATACCTGACCATCATAAACATTTTAATTCTGTGTAAACTCACAATTGTTGATCCTTGACCATCAAAAACATTTAATACAGTGTAAATTCACTAATGTTGATACTGGACCATCATAAACATTTTAATACAGGGTAAACTCACAATTGTTGATCCTTGACCATAAAAACATTTAATATTGTGTAAATTCACTAATGTTGATCCCGGACCATCATAAAGATAGTAATACAGTTTAAAAACACTATTGTTGATCCTGGACCATTAAAAATATTTAATACTGTGTAAACTCACTAAAGCTAATCCTGGACCATCATTATTTTAATACAGTGTAAATTCACTAATGTTGATCTTGGACCACCATAAACATAGTTTTTTTTCTGAATATCTTTAGAGTTTGATCATTTATATTACACAAGACAATTGAAGAGGAATAGTCTGTGTGAAAGCAAAGATCTGCAAGACACATGAGGTTGAAATTGAACTCAGGTCACCTTGAGCAAGTCAGTGTTAAAAGACAGAGAACTTTACCACTAGGCCACTGGCATTTAATACAGTGTAATTCTACTATTGATGATCTTGGACCATCATAAACATTTTAATACAGTGTAATTTTACTATTGTTGATCCTGGACCATTAAAAACATTTAATACAGTTTAAATACACTATTGATGATCCTGGACCAACATAAACATTTAATACAGTTTAAATTCACTAGTGTTGATCCTGGACCAACATAAACATTTAATACAGTTTAAATTCACTAGTGTTGATCCCGGACCATCAAAAACATTTAATACAGTTTAAATACATTATTGATGATCCTGGACCAACATAAACATTTAATACAGTGTAAATTCACTATAGTTGATCCTGGACCATTAAAAACATTTAATACTGTGTAAACTCACTCAAGGTGATCCCGGACCATCATAAAGATTTTAATACAGTGTAAATTTACTAATGTTGATCTTGGACCACCATAAACATTTATAGTTTTTTTTTCTGAATATCTTTAGAATTTGATCATTTTTATTACATAAAACAATTGAAGAGGGATAGTCTGAGAGAAAGGGAAGATAAGCAAGACACATGAAGTTGAAATCAAACTCAGGTCACCTTGAGCAAGTCAGTATTACAAGACAAAGCACTTTACCACTAGGCTACAGGCAATGGTTATAGATCATACTTTGAATTCCTTAGTGGTGATCCTGGACCATCATAAACATTTAATTACTGTGTAAATTCAGAATAGGTGATCCTGGACCATCATTATTTTAATACAGTGTAAATTCACTAATGTTGATCCTGGACCAACATAAACATTTTTTTTTCTGAATATCTTTAGAGTTTGATCATTTTTATTAGATAAGACAACTGAAGAGGTGTAGTCCAAGAGAGAGGGAAGATCGGCAAGACACGTGAGGTTGGAATCAAACTCAGGTCACAATGATCAAGTCAGTGTTACAAGAGAGAGCACTTTACCACTAGGCTACTGGTGATGATAATTGATCAAAGTTTGAGTTCCCTAGTGTTGATCCTGGACCATCATAAACGTTTTAATACATTGTAAATTTACTATTGTTGATCCTGGACCACCAAAAACATTTAATACAGTTTAAATACACTATTGATGATCCTGGACTAACATAAACATTTAATAAAGTGTAAATTTACTCTTCTTTATTCTGGACAAACTACATTTTAATACAGTGTAAATTCACGATTGATGATCCTGGACCACCATAAGCATTTATAGTTTTTTTTCTGAATATCTTTAGAGTTTGATCATTTTCATTACACAAGACATTTGAAGAGGGATACCCTGAGTACTGAGAGAGAGGAAAGATCGGCAAGACACATAAGGCTAGAATCAAACTCAGGTCACCTTGAGCAAGTCAGTATTACAAGGGAGAGCACTTTACCACTAGGCCACTGGCAATGATTATAGATGACGCTTTGAGTTTCCTTAGTGTTGATCCTGGACCATCATAAACATTTTAATACAGTGTAAATTCACTAATGTTGATCCTGGACCATCATAAACATGTTTGTAAATTCACTATTGTTCATTCTGGACCATCATCATTTTAATACAGTGCAAATTCACTATTTTTGATCCTGGACCATCATCATTTATTACAGTGTAAAATCACTATTATTGATCCTGGACCATCATAATCATTTTAATACAGTGTAAATTCACTAATGTTGATCCTGGAGCATAATAAGCATTTAAATTAGTGCTGTCAAAATTAGTGCCTTAACGCATGTAATTAATTTGAAATATTTACCGCATAAAAAAATTAACCCAAATAACCTATAGTTGCAGTTTTTTTTTTCCTGTTGTGGCCGACGTGTGTTCAACGTGCAACGAAATATGGTTAAGACCAAGGAAGCACTTTTAGAAGAAAAGTTTCAGTATAAAACAATTATTGTTGTATCACCAGGCTATACAGCGTTTTCTCCAGAGTTTCATCTAATTCCGTATGTTGTATTTTTAATCCTCCGACATTTGTTTTAATGGAATTTAATACCGCATGGCGAACGGAAAGAAAACTTCCGCATTTTGTGACTCGGTGGTCCTTTAAGGTAATCAAAAATTGCTGTTTACATGGAAGACTCTTAATAAGAGTATTATCTTAATCATATTAAAAGCAGAGTACTGGTGTCCATGTAAATATACTCATTGAAACTCAGATGATGTCACAAGCTGTTAAAGACAACGCATTTTGTCGTGTTTCCCCCTTAAACTTAAACTTTTGTAAAGCGTCTGCTTCGCATTGTTGTGTCAGAATCCTTAAATACAGCTAGACTTAACAACGCTTAGTTTAAGCAAATTTGATGAACACGATCATGCATGTTGAATCTGAAGGGAGTCTTGTGCTGTCCTGCGTGTGTGTGTGTGAGTGTATGTCTGTGTCTATGTCGTTTCCTAGTAAAAAGAACAAAAGCCTAAACGACACAGATTTCGCCGTCCATATCCCTAAAAGTTGTTTAAATGTTTAGAGATGTTGTGACCAAAGTCCCTGCAAGAATTAGTCTTTGGTGCGACACAACGCATACTTCCAGTGCGTGCCTTTTATGTACTCCTTTGATGCTTCTTACATCCCTGTCGCAGAACTAGTGGCAACAAAATTAGGCACCAAAGTGCATATGCTGATTCAGTGATCCTGCTTGTGATCATGCCTGTTCTCACTCTCAGCTCACATCATTCAAAAGAAAAGGTCCACATTAACACAATGTCCCCTGATAATGTCAACAGACTGGACTGTCTTAGCACCTGGCTGAATGTAAAGGAGGACTAAGCAAAATAGTTTTTTTTGCAGTCCACTTTGAATCCAACATGGAAATAAATTTTTTCTTTATTGGCATTGAATGTTTTGAAATTCACATGGCACTAACATGCCTGTGTTTTTATTTCTGTAATAAATATGGCTGTCAAGCTGGGATCTTGCTGGTTTATTGTGGGTATGTTGTTTACATGAGGAAATCTGTGTTACAAGTTAAACAAAAATTCTAACAAACAAATATATTTACAATTTAAATTGTTTTTTGTCTGGCGTTTACATTAATTTTACTTTTGAATAGCTAAAATGACAAGTTTCAGTCTTTTAAATGTGATTAATCATGATTAATTAGGTTTTTTTAATCGATTGACAGCACTAATAATATTTACATACATACATAGAAACTTTATTTCTATATATATTCAGAAGATTATTAAGGGATATCATGTGAGAGGTGAATTTAGGAGTTTTACACTCGTGAATATTATTATTTTTTCAACTCTATTCAGTCAAATATAAATCACTCTTGCAGATAGGTTTAGTGCTGTGACCGAATATCTTCAGATAAGAAAATGTCCCACACTCAATCCTTCATTAAATAAACTGAAGCAGCTGAGGAGACAAAGGTTTCTGCTAAAAGCTTCTGTAAACCAACAGAAACTGGTTATTTTCAATAGATACCAACACACACACAGACAAAGTCAATGCAGAGGGTGCGGTTTTCCGATTATTTTATTGGCTTGACAATTGTTACATATGTACCTCCAAAGCATTTGTGATGTTTACATTATATAGGACATATAAAAACAATTAACATAGTAGTGGTGGTTTTTCTAATGAATAATAATTAAGAGCACATTAAACAATCATCTTTAGGATAAAACAATAGTAATAAATACTTTATCTAATACTTAACAAACTAAGATTCATTTATAAACAATTTAGAATCCTGTGTGTGTGCATGCGCTTTCAGCTGATGGTTGCTTAGCAACGACAGTCACAGAATGTGTTCTATATTAGTGTTCCATACTAGAACAGCGCATCAGCCAGCATTCAGGACGGTGACTTGGTGGATCACACAGCTACTGTACGAATAGACAAATCTGTGATTGTGAAGGACTCGTTCGCTATGGATGCTCACTATAATCAGTCTTCAGACAACCATAATCGCGAGTGGTCATTGGTTGTTCTGACTTTGGACCCAAAGGTGAACGTACAAGAACTGATTGAGTCAATGAAACAGTTCACCCAAATCCACTCTTTGGATCTGTCCTATGATGAAGACAATAATTGCAGATCCATTTATGTGACTTTTGAGCATTCAGGACGGGAACAGGAACCTCATCCTGGGCTCCCCACAAACCACTATATTGAGCGGAAGACACTGCTTGTGAGCAATCTGCACCCAATGGTCACCGAACAACAGCTTATTGAAAAGTTTGGTCCATTGGGGTCCATCTCGACTGTGCAAGTGTGCAGAAACAACATCGTCTCTCCTGTGTATGCCTTTGTGACTTTCCATCATCGACTCGATGCAGTGCGAGCACAAAAAGCTCTGAACTTCACTCATTTACTGAATAAACCTCTGATCATCATGTGGGGCCCAGACAAGACAACTGAGGTCCTCTCAGATTATGACAGCAGCTCTCAAAGACAAACAGAGGAGAGAGAGGCAGCTGGAGAAACAGAGGAGAAAAAGACCAGTGGAGAAACAGAGAGAGAAGCAGCTGGAGAAACAGAGGAGAGAGCGAACAGCGAGTCTTCATGGAGAAGAAGGATCTCCAACAATGTGAAAAGTGCTGTGAAAGCCACGGTAAGCAGTCCAGCAACCTGGGTCGGAGTCGGCATAGGTGTCTGTGCTGCTTATGCCTACTTCAGGAGCAGGAGCTAGTGTGGACACATTCTAAAAGGTAATTTATCTCATTTAAGTGACATGACATCTGACTGAGCTTAGTAACACATATGTTTATATAGAATTCTCTGTGGGTCAGAGGTCATGTTAATTCATACTCAAATTCAGGTTCATTTAGACATCGACACTGATTTTCTTGACTCTGTTCTTTTCCAGACGAGAAGGCCTGCCTCACAATCTCCACTCATCATCCCCAGAGTGACCAATCACTGCTCCAGAAAGAAGAGTGACCGATCACCGCTCCAGACAGTGTAGTGTGACCGATCACTCATTCTGACTGAGAACAGTGATTGGTCACTCACTTGGCAATTTCAGCTTGATTTCCCCAGCAGGCCAAACACTTGCAATAAATGTGAATTGAATAAACTTAAGTCTTGTGTGTGTCTCATTCAGCAGTAAAGCTCAGCCTGTTGTAATTTATATCCATCCAAGAGAAGCATGGCAGCACTTTGTTCCAGACACAGAAGTAAACAACAGGATTTTCTTCACATCTATTGATGTGTTAGACAATAATTTATCGACCGTTTGAAAAGAAGGACTGCATCAAAGAACAATCAAATGTAGAATTGCCAGCTTTAAATCAGGACTTCCATTACAATGTGCAGTGGGTCCTAATAATGTCAGTACAGGAAGATATTCTGAAGAATGTTGGAAAAAAGCAGCCGTTGGCTTCCATAGTATTTTTTGTTCCTACTATTGTGGGTTTTTTCTGTACCACTTTATTTTGATGGTCCATTTGAGTATTAGTAGACTGTCTGCCCAATACCTGCTGATACTGCTGCTTTAATAGACATTTAACTGACTATAAGAAACTCTGCAAGTACATGTCAACTTACCCTTACCCCAACCCAACGGTCTACTGAGAATTACTGTAGTTGGCATGTACTGTAGATGTAATGTAACTTAAATTCAACAAACTGACCAGCAAAATAAAGTTTGGCCAATTTTTTACAAAATTTTTCAAAATACCTTCTTTTGTGTTCAACAGAAGAAATTCAAGGGTTTGGAACCACTTGTGTGTAAGTGAACGAGTAAATGTTCACTTCTGTGTTAACTGTCCCTTAAATGCTGGCTTAACATATGTAAGATTGAATCTGAAGGGAGTCGCTCCGGCTGCCTGTGTTGAGTGTGTGTCTGTGTGTGTGTGTGTGTGTGTGTGTGTGTGTGTGTGCGCGTGCACACGTTTCCTAGAAACAAGAACAAATGCCTAAACATCCGATGTTGCTGTCCGTATCCCTCAAAGTTGTTTAAATGTTTAAAAATGTAAGAATTCTTTGAAGTCTTTGGTGTGATACAACGCGTACCAGTGCGAGCCTTTGATGTACCACTTGATGCTTCTTCCTTTTCGCAGCACCAGTGGCAACAAAATTAAGCACAAAAATTCATAAGCTTATTCAGTGATCCTACTTGTAAGAGACTGTTCTCACTCTCAGCTCACATCATTCAAAACAAAAGGGCCTCATTGTCCTCAGATAATGTCAACAGACTGGACTGTCTTAGCAACTGGCTGTTTGTATTCAATACTTTATTAGGGACCGAGCACCGAAACGGTGCGTAGGCCCTATTGGAATTGCTCCGTTTATTAGGGACCGAGCACCGAAACGGTGCGTAGGCCCTATTGGAATTGCTCCGTTTTTAGGGACCGAGCACCGAACGGTGCAAGGCCCTATTGGAATTGCTCCGTTTATTATTATTATTATTCTTCTCTCCAATGAATCGCGATTTTGAGGGCCTTACCATGCCCGAAAACTCACGCAACTTTGCACACGCCTCAGAAGTAGCGAAAATTTACGTTTTTTATGGGCTTCGGAAGTGGGCGTGGCAAAATGACTCGACAGCGCCACCTAGAAAAATTAAACGGACGAGCCCCCGATCCACGAATCACGCACATGCACGAAAATTGGTACACACCTCAAACACACCAAAACATACGAAAAAGTCTCTTGGAGCCATATCTCAAACCCAACAGGAAGTCGGATATTTTTGACTTCCTGCCGCGAAAAAGTGGCGTTTTTGCCATTTCCAGGCGTTGTATTTTAACGAACTCCTCCTAGGGATTTTATCCGATCGACACCAAAATTGGGTTTTGTCATCTAAAGGCCTTGGCGATGTTAAATTGCGAAGCTTTAGAGTTTTTGTTGATGGGCGTGTCCGTGGCGGCCTCGCAAACTTTGACGATTCGCCACAAAACAGGAAGTCGTTATAACTCAGGCATGCATTATCAGATCTGCCTCAAAATTCACACGTTTGATAAGAGTCCTAACCTGAACACGTGTACTTGCCGATATCCAGATACAGTTATAGCGCCACCTGCTGGCTACAGGAAATGACATGTTTTACATCGTAACAAACTCCTCCCACAAATTTTTTCGTGTCCGCACCAAATTTGAGTGGTGTTATCTGAAAGCCCTAGCGATGATATATTGTGAAGATCTAGAGTTTTTGCAGAGGGGTGTGTCCGTGGCGGCATGACAAACCTCAACGCTACGCCATGGAACAGGAAGTTATTATAACTCAACCACACAATGTCCAATCTGCCTAAAACTTCAGATGGTTGATAAAAGTCCTCTCCTGAACACATCCCCATAACAAAATTGAAGTGGGCGTGGCAAAATGACTCGACAGCGCCACCTATAAAAATTAAACGGACGAGCCCCTGATCTACGAATCACGCACATGCACGAAAATTGGCACACACCTCAAACACGTCAAAACATACGAAAAAGTCTCTTGGAGCCATATCTCAAACCCAAGAGGAAGTCGGATATTTTTAACTTCCTGCGGCAAATAAGTGGCATTTTTGCCATTTCCAGGCTTTGTATCTTAACGAACTCCTCCTAGGGATTTTATCCTATCGACACCAAAATTGGGTTTTGTCATCTAAAGGCCTTGGCGATGTTAAATTGCGAAGCTTTAGAGGTTTTGTCGATGGGCGTGTCCGTGGCGGCCTCGCAAACTTTGACGATTCGCCACAAAACCGGACGTGATTATAACTCAGGCATGCATTATCCGATCTGCCTCAAAATTCACATGTTTAATATAAGTCCAGACCAGAACATGTTTACATGCCAATATCCAGATACAGTTATAGCGCCACCTGCTGGCCACGGGAAATGTCATGATTTACAGAGTAATAAACTCCTTCCACAAATTTTTTCGTATCAGCACCAAATTTGGGTTGTGTTATCTGAAAGCTCAAGCGATGATATATTGTGAAGATCTAGAGTTTTTGAAGAGGGGCGTGTCCGTGGCGGCATGACAAACCTCAACGCTTCGCCATGGAACAGGAAGTTCTTATAACTCAACCACACAATGTCTGATCTGCCTGAAACTTCACATGGTTGATAAAAGTCCTCTCCTGAACAAATATACATAACAATATTGAGTCAGTCATAGCGCCACCTGCTGGCAGAAGGTAGTTTGGCTTATAACTCAGCCACACAATGTCCGATCTGCCTGAAACTTCACATGGTTGATAAAAGTCCTCTCCTGAGCACATCTACATAATAATATTGAGTCTTTAATAGCGCCACCTGCTGGCAGAATGTAGTTTGTCTTATAACACAATCTCCACACAATCTCATATCTGCCTGAAACTTCACATGGTTGATAAAAGTCCACTCCTGAACATATCCACATAACAATATTGAGTCAGTCATAGCGCCACCTGCTGGCAGAAGGTAGTTTGGCTTATAACTCAGCCACACAATGTCCGATCTGCCTGAAAATTCACAGGTTAGATGAGATGCCTCTCCTAAAGACATCTACATGCCGATCTTGAGTCACAGTTATAGCGCCACCTGCTGACAGGAGGAAGTTTGGCATAAATCTGTGATTTTTCTCAGGTTCTTTATATATATCGGCTGAAATTAATATTGTTCGCTGTTCTCTGTCATCCTGAGGCTACCGGGTGGCGGTGAGCCTGGGTGCGAGGTCCCTTTCATCGCTGCTTGCAGCTTTAATTTATTATTATTATTATTATTCCGCCCCCTATCGGGGCACTTTTGAGGGTCTAAACATGCCCGAAAACTCATGAAAATTTGCACACACACCAAACGCGGTGTAAATAGCAGGTTGATATGGGTCTCGGAAGTGGGCGTGGCAAAATGACTCGACAGCGCCACCTAGAAAAATTAAACGGACGAGCCCCCGATCCACGAATCACGCACATGCACGAAAATTGGCACACACCTCAAACATGCCAAAACATACCAAAAAGTCTCTTGGAGCCATATCTCAAACCCAACAGGAAGTCAGATATTTTTAACTTCCTGCGGCGAAAAAGTGGCATTTTTGCCATTTCCAGGCGTTGTATTTTAACGAACTCCTCCTAGGGATTTTATCTGATCGACACCAAAATTGGGTTTTGTCATCTAAAGGCCTTGGCGATGTTAAATTGCGAAGCTTTAGAGTTTTCGTCGATGGGCGTGTCCGTGGCGGCCTCGCAAACTTTGACAATTCGCCACAAAACAGGAAGTCACTATAACTCAGGCATGCATTATCAGATCTGCCTCAAAATTCACATGTTTAAAAAGAGTCCAGACTAGAACACGTTTACATGCCGATATCCAGATACAGTTATAGCGCCACCTGCTGGCCACAGGAAATGTCATGATTTACAGAGTAATAAACTCCTCCCACAAATTTTTTCGTATCAGCACCAAATTTGGTGGGTTGTTATCTGAAAGCTTAAGTGATGATATATTGTCAAGATCTAGAGTTTTTGCAAAGGGGCGTGTCCGTGGCGGCATGACAAACCTCAACGCTTCGCCATGGAACAGCAAGTCCTCATAACTCAACCACACAATGTCCGATCAGCCTGAAACTTCACATGATTGATAAAAGTCCTCTTCTGAACACATCCGCAAAACAGTAATGAGTCAGTCATAACGCCACCTGCTGGCAGAAGGTAGATAGGCTTATAACTCAGCCAAACAACATCCGATCTGCCTGAAACTTCACATGGTTGATTAAATTCCATTACTGATGGCATCTACATGCCAATCTTAAGTCACAGTTATAGCGCCACCTGCTGGCAGATGGTAGTTTGCATTATAACTCAACCACACAAAGTCCGATCTGCCTGAAAGTTCACATGGTTGATAAAAGTCCTCTCCTGAACACATCTACATAACAACATTGAGTCTGTCATAGCGCCACCTGCTGACAAAAGGCAGTTTGGCTTATAACTCAGCTAAACAATGTTCGATCTGGCTGAAACTTCACATGGTTGATAAGATTCCTCTCCTGGTGACATCTACATGCCAATCTTGAGTCACAGTCATAGCGCC